TCTAATTTAAACTAATTTCTTGTTATGAGACTAATTAAGATTTATAAGTTATAAAGTATGGTGTGGGAGGAGATTGTATTGTTTTGTGTTGTATTTAATGAATTTATGCATTACATGTATTTTTCTACTCCTACAAAATATTTCATTATTATTACTCTTACAATCTGTATATAATAGATAGTTTTCAGCAAAAAACAACATCAAAAGCATATTAATTATTCAAAAACTATTCTCAAGTGATATGACATTACAGTATATACACTGGTCTTATAAATAATAAATAAAACGCGAGATATAGACTAAATTTATATTATATACAGTATTCGTGTATATAGTCTTATAACTTACATTATTATTCCGATGACTTTTATTTACAGAATTTCTCTATAAGTTATAAATATTAAAATTTTTAATTAAAAATTTTCAACATTAATAGAAAAATAGGGATTAAGTGTGAAAACACAACAAAACACTTGACATTTAACGGAAAACGATTAAAACTTCGACTGTATATTACAGTTAAAAACACTTCATTCATTCAATCATTAATAATGAATTCCATTCATTCACACTAATTGAGAGAAAATTGTATCATAACTTATATTATTTATTAATACCATATGAGACACACTGAAGGTTATGTAGAGAATATCCTATAATTTTACGCAAGAATATTCTTGCGAATAGTTTATCAAAAAGCATTAAGAATTGCAAATAAATGCACACTTTAATAGGTTTTTAATAGGCGTCGCCTTATATGAGATAATTGTCTCAACCATTAGACCCATTCATCACAAGTCTTGTGACTGTTTAATCGTAGAGCAATCGATGAAATGTCAGAATTAATAGAAATATCAATTTTAAAACATGTATTGATTTAATGGAAAATAATTAAAAACCGATTCAACAAAATGAAAAGTTTTTATTTAATGATTTACCGGTAATTCGTTTTAAAATGGAAAAGTCAGAATTAATAGAAATATCAATTTTAAAACATGTATTGATTTAATGGAAAATAATTAAAAACCGATTCAACAAAATGAAAAGTTTTTATTTAATGATTTACCGGTAATTCGTTTTAAAATGGAAATGTCTAAAATATTTGTGTAGATATTATTATTATATCTTAAAATATATAAAACAATATGCTCTGAATAAAAATATAAATAACAGAATAAATAACATATCAAAAAATAATACTATTTATATCATATTTTGTGACCCAATCATAAGTATTAAGTGAATAATTAAATGCAAAAAATGCCTTTAAAAACAAAAATCATAATTAAAACATAAATTAATTTCAATCCTAAAAACAATTTCATGAATACATAAAACTTAATAAATAAATTTAAAGTGAAAACTAAATCAATGATTTCAATCACACTTTAGATGCCGATTCACATACCATTCCGACAACTGTTGAGCGCCTACTATAAGCATTGAAAGGCATATAATTAGCGAAATATTCCAATAATTCATTTGACATATAATTGATGAGAGAATAGCCATTGCTTTCAACGTCATTGAGAAGACGTTTCTATGATTCCTATAATTGTGATGAAAAAAGTTAACAAACACTTCAAACATTTAAAATTCCAATAATTCATTTGACATATAATTGATGAGAGAATAGCCATTGCTTTCAACGTCATTGAGAAGACGTTTCTATGATTCCTATAATTGTAATCAAAAAAGTTAACAAACACTTCAAACATTTAAAACACAAATACAAAAAACAACGAAAACTAATGATTTACATATTAATGTCGATTACAGAGTACTGGTGCCAAACCACTGGACACGATAACGTCAACAGTAGAGCAGGTATTAGGTATGGATCAGTGCCGATAAAGTAGAGGACAGGCATTTTCAGGTTAATCCAGTCCATGAGCAACGGTATGGTGGGAATTGTGGACAGATATAGCAACGATAGTAACGTCAAGTGTAGGTTCCATTGGGAGGCATTCGAGTCCACACCCAGACGTCTCTCAATTGATTGACATTTGATACTTAAATAAATTAACTGAATATCGAAATACAAATTGAAAGTTATTTTTGGCAATTCTATGAAAACAAATGTAATACAAACCTGAATATTATGTAGAATTAGGCAAATGAGAAAAGTCTGCAAAACAATGTAATTCAAAATCAATTATTTATACACAAAACGGATATATCAGTCATTTTAGCGATGTTTTACGTGTAAAAGTGATTATTTTGTTAAGTTTTCTACCAATAAAAATACAATACTAACCAAAGAGCTGTTAAAAATAAAACAAATGATTGCCATAAAAATTGCACTCAATGTGGGCATCAATTTAATTGTGAATCGCTTTTCATGTGAACCGGAATTCTTGTTATTTGATTGTTTTGAATGACTAGAAGTAACTCTAAATTGTTAAATAATTAAACAATGAATTACTTTCAATGTGTTATTCATGAATAATGAAACGCTCACTTCTTTTGCAAAAAATCCAAAATTGTTGAAAAGCACACAAAAATCGATGTAATGATAATCAAAAAGAAATAAGTGATGGAAAGTGCGATCAGATAGAGGAATAGGTATAGAATGACGAGTTGAGTATATGTGAGATCCGATGTCAATGAATTGGTTTCCGTGAAACTGGTAATAATGTGATTACAAACAAAATTACTATCATTTTCAATCGATTCATGACATATACTGTAATTACTTTAAAAATACCGCTGAACCCGAAGCAGATAATATCAATAAACCATTCATCGAAACTAATCGAAAGTTTCTAATTATATGAACCGATTGTAAGTAAATATATTTGGGTTTGTTATCGAAAAAGTGGTTATTTTCGGGTGACTTCTTTGGCGATGAATTGTTTGGAATGATTTGAATGGACAGCAACGACAACACAATTGAGACAATCATTGGCAACAAAATTAGGCCAAAATGTCTTAACACCTGTCCCATCATCTCAGCCACCGATGGCTTTAAGTGTAATTTATAGCTACAGTTGGGATCGACTAATAAGTAAAGATATGGTTCCGAAGAGTCGGGGCTAAAGTTCTTTGGTTTCGGGGAATTGAGTTTAAGTGTCATCTGAGAGGTTGAGCCGCGTTTGGGGTAAACATATTTGAATTGATTCTCGCGATTCCAGGGAACAGTCAGCAGGAGGTAACCCAAATTGGCGGCTCCGGGATAGCAGCTAATGGTCTCCAATTGGATCCAATAGGTGTGCCACCAGTGCTCGAGTCCTACGACCGACACGTTATAGAAAGTGGTCTCTTCGCTGACGGCGATGTCGAGGACAGTACGGGAGGCGAAGAATGAGGAGACGCTTTGCCACAGATTTGGTGTTAATATGCTTTTGGTTCGGATGGATGTCGTGAACCGATCGATCTGTATGTCTATCGGTTCCGTCGATGCGCTGATGGCTAACAATAGATGAGTAAATCCTTGGTTTAACAGTAGGGATGACTGTCCGGTAAACAGCCGGCGCTCGATATCTCTCGGCTGGGATGGCAGCCGCCTGACGTGTGAGTGTAGAGACAAACCCTTATCACTGGAAAAGTGTTAATTAATTACCGTAAAAAAGTTAATTAGAAAATTGTTTGCATTAATTTGAATACTAATTACCAAAAAGTAATGTTATTTTGTTTAGTGGCAGAACAGGCCATAAGCCAGTCGTGTCTGTAGTGGCCTTCAAATTGAATGACAATACTTTCTCTTCGCATTAGTGGCAGTAAAATATGATTTGGTTTTAAGACCTAATCGCACAAAATGATTGCATAACTCGTCAATAACTTAAAAAAACTTATTATAAACTGCTATTTAATCAAACCTTTGGTTTGGTAATTTTGATAATCCTATCGAAGTTCTCACTCCACTCTGGACTGGGAGCGAGTGCTATGTATTCTGGCGTTAAAAACGTGGGGAAATTCTTTCCTAATGTCCTTTCCATGAAGTGATACCTAATTATTGTGTTCCTATCGGACGTGTTGTCTATCAGTTTCAATGACTTTTGATCGGTTAAGTCGAACAGAAGTCGAGTTAACTTCAGTACTAATTGTTTGCACCAAACGATGCACACGTGATCTATTGAGACCCAGACCTGTGGCACAAGAGTTGCATATTTTAGTGATTATTATAATTACGATAAATTTAGTGAACACAGACGTCATCGATGGCAGTGGAGACGATATTCAAGTCGTTCACGTGTGGATTGGCGTCCAATGTGGTGAGGTGTGAACGAACCAACTTATCATTAAATCCGCCGCCGATTGATATGACATTCATGTGACCGAAGTCGTCCACTCGTCTCGTATCCCAATATTCTTCCACTTCTTTGTAAAAGGATGTCATCTTGGAGTCAATGGGAACCACTGAAACACAGATAGTTGTCATACAACTGGTATTCATAATCAAACAAATAAGTGTCAAAAAACCGGCAGATTTGTGAGGAGTGGCTAATGTGATGACTAAATCGATTCGATGTCCGTATGGTTCAAATTCGGGAAGTGTTAGCAATGACCTGATTATGAGTCCACCCTTTAATGCGATCGTAAAAAATAAACTTAAAATCAAATCTTGTAATCAATTGAACACTAATTCGCATACAATTGAGTGTCCGATGAGTACAAGCGATACGTTGCGACCCCTCTTCTCATACAAATCCATGACTCTTAAGAGACTTTCCTTCAGAAACAGTGTCTGACTCTGCAGATGATAACTATTAACCCCTGAGTACTCCTAAAAGACACGAAACAATCTTTTATATGATACCATCAGAGAGTTGATCCAATTTTATGAATACCTCATTGAAGTCAATGGCGAAGTAATTGAAGTGAAATGTAGAGTATTTATCGGACATCCGAAGAGCCACTGATCCCAAAGATCTCACCTGTTATTGAGATAATCATGGATTAGATTTGCGGTAATTTGTGTCAATAGCCACCAAATTAAGAGCTCAATAGACCTGCTTATAAGAGCCACCATTTCCCGGGACAAACACAACGGGAACTCCATTAAAGTGACCATCACTTCGGAGGTAAGAGATAAACGCAAATCAGGAACCAATCACTTTCACAATCAATTGTCTGTAAAACACATACCGAAGAGTTTCCGCGTAGTGTCTGACCGGAGAGGAAGATAACAAGTAGACAAACAATGGTATCAAAAGTTTTATCATAAAAACAGTTCTTATGGTAAATGAATGGATGAATACCCCTCTCCGTAGGCGAAGAGATTATAGTTGGGATACTTGAGTGTAATCTGATTGCTAAGTGGGATCAGCTATGGTATTAAAAGTTTTATCATAAAAACAGTTCTTATGGTAAATGAATGGATGAATACCCCTCTCCGTAGGCGAAGAGATTATAGTTGGGATACTTGAGTGTAATCTGATTGCTAAGTGGGATCAGCTGTCAAATAAAGACAATCAGTGGTTACTTGTAATACAAGTCCTGTCACCACAAACGAGTCCACCACTACTTACGACAAACTGTGGGAATTGAAACATAAAAGTCATTTCGCAGCCATTCTTCTCAGTGATGATCATATAGTCGACTAAACCGATGAGGAATAGGACTAATACCACGAATAGCAGCGACGACTTCAATGTTATGAAGCGATTCACTCGCGAGAAAGACATGGCTTTTGGGATGTGGTCTACAAATGGGTTATCAATTGTTTATGACTTCTATCTCTTGATAACAGGTATACAGAGGTTTGTCTCGTGTCTTGAGTGAGACATTGGATGACAATCAGTGGTTGTGTTTTGCGCTGCTTTTCATGATATTGTCATTCATTTGATTGATATAAGGATTAAGGCCTCAAAGCACTAATCAATTGCTTATCTCGTTATCAATGCCTTAATCTATGCATACATTTGACACTCACTTCAAAATACTGAGCGAATGAATGGCAAACATATGAGTGAATGAATTGTTTGCAAATTCACACATTTATTACGGCTTTGGGATAAAGTTTTGAATACAAAGTTTTGCCAAATAATATACAATTTTCTTAATGATTATTAATTGAAAGTTATACAAATCAAATATTTGTTGAATTACAAGTTATTAATTATAATTGAATAATTAACACATACAATGCGAGAAAATATGGTTTTTACACAAAAGTTTATTTAGGATTTAAAAAGTATGAAACCATTAAAGAGTTAAAACTGAGTTTACGATAAATATTCATTCAAGAGTACAATAAAGTCTGAAAATAGTAATTATTATCCGTATTTTAATGATAAGTTTATCCTTAAAAATTAACAAAAAAATTACTCATAAATAATACCATGAAATATAAAATTAGTTCAAAACATTCAAAAGATTATATGAATTATCACACAATATGTCATAAAATATGAAAGTAATTACAAACAAAATAAGAGAATCAAGTGATGATTGGACACTATCTGAGGGCACATATGATTCAATAATAAGTACCGAAGCCGTACTGTCGGCGCACTCTTCCGGCGGAGTTGACGCGAGTCTTCTTCAGAGACACCATATTATGGAACGACTTTCCGGTGGTCTTCGGCTCGAAGAGGACCTGTT